CAGTCGCTATATACACAGTAACCCCGTCGGCCACCAGTCCAGGACACCGCCCGCTTTAGTCCAAGCCCCGCCCCAGACCCCCGAATTCGCCAGGCCGCGCGCACTAGCCACGCCCCTAACTGGCCCCTCCTCCACCGGGCTCCGCCCCGACCGCTCCACCTGCCGCTCCCTCTGGCCGCGCCCCCACCTGGCCACGCCCCTGTTGCCCAGGTCTCTCTCCCCACACGCTCCGCGGAGCTCAATCTGGGAGGGACGCGCCTGGCCGCTGGCCGCTGGCCGCCGCCCCTGGCCCCTGCCCCCGAGCCCATGGAGGCGCCGGGACCCCGCGCCGTGAGGACTGCGCTCTGTGGCGGCTGCTGCTGGCTCCTCCTGTGTACCCAGCTGGCTGTGGCTGGTAACGCGCGGCAGGGTCTGGTTAGGGGCCCGACAGGGGCTGGTGGAGCCTGCCCCTCAGCCAGCCGCCTCCCCAGGAGCAGCCCGGGCTTGAGGGGAGGGGGCTTTCCGGACGAGAGCAGGCCTCCAGAGGTTGGAGAGGGGGCTCTAGCTCTGTGTGGAGCCCTCTGTGTAAATATAGGCCCCAGGTATGAGGTTCCCGAATCTGGGAACCTCAGGTGTATGCAAAGGAAGGGGCCCTAGGTGAATATGGGGGGGCTCTAGGCGTGTGTAGACATGTTCTGTGGGAGCTCCAGGTGTGCGCTGGGGCCTGGGGATCCAGGGGCAAGTGTATGTGAGAGCCCAGACGTGTGCAGAGGGGCAAGGGCCTCCGGAGTGTTGAGTCAGAGGATGGGTGAGTGCCACAACTTGGTTATGAGGAGTTGCTCCCTTCCCATTCTACCGCACTCCCAGGTAAAGGAGCTCGAGGCTTTGGGAGGGGAGCCCTGATCCGCCTGAACATCTGGCCATCGGACCAAGGCGGCTGCAAACAGCTGGAGGTCTGTGAGCGCTGCGTGGAGGGAGACAGAGCAAGCAATCTCTCCAGTTGCGTGTGGGAGCAGTGCTGGCCAGAAGAGCCAGGTATGGAGCTGAGCCCTCCCCAGGTTCAGTGCCCCCAACTCTGAACCCCAAGGCTTTGGCCCCTCTCCCCAAACCTCGCCCCTGCACCTTCTCCCACCAGGACACTGTGTGGCCCAAGCTGAGGTGGTTAAGGAAGGTTGCTCCACCTACAATCGCTCAGAGGCATGTCCAGGTAAGGGGGGTCTTGGGCAGAAGCCAAGTTTCATGAGTCTCCCCAGCCATAGCCTGTCCCCTAGGAGGAAACAGCCTCTTTTGGGGAGTGGACTGTGCTCACCAATACCTGGGCCCAGTATCACTTCTGCCTTTAGCTCACTGAGAAGTCCCCTCCTCTCTCTGCCTGTTTCCTTATCTGAAAATTCGTACAGGGGTGTGGAGGGGATGGGAGCCTTAGCTCTTCTAGTTTAAGGCATAGCAAGGACTTTGGAAGTTCAGAGGGAATGAGAGGGGGTGCTTCCTGGAGGAAGTGGCATTAGCGATGAGCCTCAAAGGTGGAAATAGAGAGAGCACATCTGGTGGGGGGAATTGTGTGATTGAGGCTTGCAAGTATGTTGGATGTCTGGAGCGGGACAGGGCTGCATCGGAATAGAAAGTTTAATGGTGAGTGGGGGCTGGGGTCTTGATGGGGGAGTCAGGGGTAGGAAGGCTGCTTTCTTATGAATTCTTTGTCTCCTTAGCTGCTCACCACCACCCCACCTATGAACCAAAGACAGTCACAACAGGTGGGTACTTCCTGGGGATAGGGGAGTGGGAGGAGCAGAGGCGCAGGGGAAGACAGCTCTGGGCTCAAGCACTGACATGCCCTGTGACCTCAGCCCTGCACCTTCTCCCTTGGAGCCTGTCTCTGCATCTGTGAAATGGGTTGGATGATGCCTTCCTCACAGAGTTGCTGTATGGGTTTTATGAGAAGTTGTATGGTGCCCACTTCAGTGTCTGACTCACTGAAGGCGATCAAGAAATGACAGTTCCCATCCCTCCTTCCCATCCTGGGAATGCAAGATGACCCCTAGGGATTTGTCTTTGGAGGTTCGGCTGTGCAGCTCAAATTGCACAGGAGACATCCTCGGTGCCCACCTACTGCGCCCTCCAGACCCAGAGAGGGTCACAAGGCAGGTTCCTGGTAGAGCAGAGGCGAGAACCCCACCCCTTTCTTCCCACTGCCTCTCAGAGGCTGGAGGTCACCAGACTTGGCAGGGATGGCTGAAGAGGCCCTTGGTTAATTAAAGCCAGAAACCGATCTCAGAAGCTGAATTATTGATGGCTCAGCTCCCTCAGCTGGAGTCCCAGATCGGCCTCATGCAGCTCATTTCTCCCCTCTTCTGCTCCTCATCCCTCAGCTTCCTTCTCTGGGGCTCCCTGAGCAGGAGCTGGGACCGTTATTCTTCATATTCTCAGACTCCTTCCACCCCTTACACCTTCTGGGAAATGGTCCCAGCTGAGGCTATGCCCTTTCCACTGTCCCAGAATGATGTTCCATCCACTAGCCCTGCCCTGCTCTGGGCACCTGGCCCAGGGCCTGAAATTGAATCCCTGCTGGGAGTGGACAGGTACCGTGGCACAACTGGGAGCTACCCAGGCATAGCCTGGCAACCATAACCCTAAGGCTTTACCCTCCATGAGGCAGAGGAAATGGTGAGGAGACCCCATGTGTGTCCTGTGAGGTGACTTTGGCCAAGCCTGTCCCTCAGCTGCATTCCCCCTGACACATGCTGTCCAGTCCCTGCTCACCCACTTAGCAGGGTGAGAGTTGGGGCCTCCACTTCTCCCCCTGCTTCTTCCCTCTCTGAGGGCTCTGACATTGGGTGACACTGGGGTCTCAGGGCTTAGGAGTCCTGAAAAGAGGCTATATCATCTCCATCTTGGCTCTGAACCCTGAGGTCCAAGGCTGAAAGGAATTCTGAGTGGGTCTGAATATCTGAGTTCTGGATCTGTCCTCACCCTATTGGGCAAGTGAGGCCCAGGGAGGCTGGGAGCTCAGTCACTCTCTACTCCAAGTCACCTATTGGACCCAAGTGATCATGAGGCCCAGAGAGAATGGGTATGGCATAAAAGCCACAGAGCTCATGCCTGTAATCCCATCACTTTGAGAGGTGGAGGTGGGTAGATCATGAGGTCAGGAGTTTGAGACCAGCCTGACCAACAAGGTGATACCCTGTCTCTATTAAAAATACAAAAAAATTAGCTGGACATGGTGGCATGTCCCTATAAACCCAGCTACTCAGTAAGCTGAGGCAGGAGAATCACTTGAACCTGGGAGGTGAAGGTTGCAGTGAGCCGAGATTGCGTCTCTGCACTCCAGCCTGGGCACAGAGTGAAACTTGTCTCAAAAAAAAAAAAAAAAAAGCCACAGAGCAAGCCAGGAGCAGAACCAGGGCTGGACAGTGCCTCACCCTCCCACACCACTGTCCCTCCCACCAGGCACTTCCCAGCTGCTTGCGGGATCTGGACTAGACTTCTGAGCACAGGGTTTAAGGACCCCATATTGAGGACAAGGGCCTCCAGGTTACCTGTGCTGGTTATAGGGTGGGACTAGGATTCCAGTTCACAGTGGCTGCTATGATTCCCTACCCTGCCTCACCCTTGCAGGGAGCCCCCTTGTCCCTGAGGCCCACAGCCCTGGATTTGATGGAGCCAGCTTTATTGGAGGTGTTGTGCTGGTGTTGAGCCTACAAGCAGTGGCTTTCTTTGTGCTGCGCTTTCTCAAGGCCAAGGACAGCACCTACCAAACACTGTGAGTACCTGGCCAGCAGCCAGTACCTGAGTCCCAGCTCACCTCCTGGCTCCTGCCCACCATTCCCCTTCAGTACCCAGGGAGCTGTCTCCTCCACGGGCAGCGCTCAGGAAGGTGACAGCATCCCCCATGTGAGCCACACCCCCTTTCTCTCCTCTGGTTGGGAGGCTTTCTCTGTCCCCTGTTGGCTGGGACCAGGACTTAGCCTGGGCTGGTGTCTGGGAGCCCAGCCAAGCCCACCTGTGTCTTTTCCCCTCATGCCGCCAGCAGGGAAGAGAACCAGTAGGTGCCAGCCCAGGCAAGCCTGCGGCCTACATTTCTGTGGCTGTGGGCAGGAGCCGGGCTGTGTGTCTAGTTTGGATTTGCTCTGGAAGGGAGCTGTGCCTGGGGCCCTCTGTGTGCCGTGTGTGCTGTGGGGTGGGTCGCTGAAGCCTGTGTTAAAGTGTTTGTTCTTCCTCTGCTGCCTCCTCTCTGGAGGCAGGGGGTCCTTGGCTGGCTGAGGCAGGGTCACCTTCCCCAGTGTCCTCTGCAGAATCTGACTCTCTTGGGCCTGGACTCCATCCTGAGGGGAAAGGAGGATGTGGAGGCTGGCCTCTTGGCCCCCTTGTGGGCAAGCAGGAGGCGGGGGTGGGAAGAACTCTGGCCACCAATTTTTGGCTCCTGTGGGCACCAAGCAGGCTCAGTGTGCAATGCCTGACATCTCCTCCTGTCCTGGGCCTGGAACCCACAGCTGAGAGCATCCCTCAACTGCCTCATCTCCTCCATCATCCCTGCTGGGCCCCTCAGCCTGGCACTGGGTTCTGTGCCTGCCTCTTCCCACCAACTGGCCTGGGCACTGCCCCCAAATAAAGCAACTCTGCACTGTGCTTCATGTCCTGTGTCAGGCTGTGTGTAGATTGGTTGTGGGGAGGGTGTGGCTGCTGTCTTCTTTTTGACAGGAATTCCACCTAGAACTGTCACTGTCACCTTTTTAAATATTTCTGGCTGGGCATGGTGGCTCATGCCTGTAATCTCAGCACTTTGGGACGCCGAGGCAGGCAGTTCACCTGAGGTGAGGAGTTCAAGACCAGTCTGGCTAACGTAGTGAAATCCTGTTTCTACTAAAAATACAAAACGTTAGCCAGATGAGGTGGTGCATTCCTGTAATCCCAGCTACTCAGGAAGCTGAGGCAGGAGAATCACTTGAACCTGGGAGGCGGAGGTTACAATAAGCTGAGATCGCACCATCACACTCCAGCTTGGGCACCAAGAGCGAAACTCCATCTCAAAATATATATATATTTTCATCGTTGATACCAGCTTAACCCCACTCTCTCCCCCTTTACAGATGAGGGTATGGAGACTCAGGTAAGTACAAGTGCTCAAGTCACACAGCTGGACAGGGCAGGGCTGGGGTTTCAATTCAGGCCTTTCTCGGCTGGGCGTCGTAGCCCATGCCTATCATTTCAGCCCTTTGGGAGGCTGAGGCAGGCGGATCCCTTGAGTCCAGGAGACCAGCCTGGGCAACATAGTTGAGACCCCATCAATAAAAAGGAAAATAATAAAAAATAAAATCAATTCAGACTTTTCTGAGTCCAGAGTGAGCAGAACTGTATTCTGGAGGCATCTCCAGGCTCTCTCAGCCGCCTGCAGTTTTAGGTTTCTGCCCAGTGCCAAGGTGGAAAGGCCCCCTGGGACTCCGGAGTGGCCATTTCTGGCCTTTCTCTCTCAGGCTCTCTGGGAAGCCCCGCCTCCTGTCCCCGGGCACAGAAGTCTCCCCTGACTTCCCTGACACTTGCTGGGAGCCAGGCATGTAGCTGCAAGTCTTAAAACTTTTTATTTAATTTTTCTTTTCTTTCTTTTCCTTTTTTTTTTTTTTTGAGACAGTCTCGCTGTGTCACCCAGGCTAGAGTAGAGGGGTGAGATCTCAGCTCACTCCACCTCCCACTGCCAACCACAGTCCACCTCCTCATCCCCCCTCACACCCTCACTTCTGCCAAAGCTCCCAGCCTCTGGAAATCAGCCTCGCCTTTGTGCACTCCTCCAGCTCCCTAGAGCCCTGCTGCCTCCCCCATCTGCCTTGGCTTCTCTCTTCTCCAGGCTTCCACATGAGCAGCTTCTCCTGCCTGGGCCCCCCTGCCCTTGTTTCTCCCCCAGCACAAGTTTTCTTCATCATCCTCCTTTATTGGATGCTTTCTTTTTCTTGCAAAAGTACTAAATGCCTGTGAGGATTGGAAAAAGGACTATACAGAAGTTTATATGAAGAATGAGAATCGGGCTGGGTGTGGTTGCTTATGCTTGTAATTCTAGCACTTTGGGAGGCCAAGGCAGGAGGATTGCTTGAGCTTGGGAGTTGGAGACCAGCCTGGGCAGCATGGCGAAACCCCGTCTCTACTAAAAATACAAAACTTAGCCGGGAGTGATGGTGTATGCCTGTAGTCCCAGGTACTCAGGAGGCTGAGGTGGGAGAATCACTTGAGCCCAGGAGGTCCAGGCTGCAGTGAACCAGAATCATGTCACTGCACTCCAGCCTGGGTGACAGGGTGAGACCCTCTATATATTAAAAAAAAAAAACACAAAAACTGGCTGGGCATGATGGCTCACGCCTGTAATCCCAGCACTTTGGGAGGCCGAGGTGGGCAGATCACAAGCTCAGGAGCTCAAGACCAGCCTGGCCAATATGGTGAAACCTCGTCTCTAATAAAAATACAAAAATTAGCTGGGCATGGTGCCTTTAGTCCCAGCTACTCGGAGGCTGAGGCAGGAGAATCGCTTGAACCTGGGAGGCAGAGGTTGCAGTGAGCGGAGAATGCGCATTGCACTCCAGCCTGGGCGATAGAATGAGACTCTATCTCAAAAAAAAAAAAAAAAAAGAACTGGCCAGGAGGTACAGTGGCTCACACTTGTAATTCCAGCACTTTGGGAGACCAAGGAAGGATGATTGCTTGAAGCCAAGAGTTTGAGACCAGCCTGGGCAATATGGTGAGAACCCATCTCAACAAAAAATAAAAATTTAGGCCAGGTGCAGTGGCTCACACCTGTAATACCAGCACTTTGGGAGGCTGAGGAAGGTGGATCACTTGAGGTCAGGAGTTCGAGATCAGCTAGACCAACATAGTGAAACCCCATCTCTACTAAAAATACAAAATTTAGCTGGGCATGGTGGTGCACACCTGTAATCCCAGCTACTTGGGAAACTGAGGCAGGAGAATCACTTGAATCCAGGAGGTGGAGGTTGCAGTGAACTGAGATCAAGTCACCGCACTCCAGCCTAGGCAACACAGCAAGACTGTGTCTCAAAATAAATAATAAATAAATAAATAAAAATTTAGGCCGATGTGGTGGCTCTGCCTGTGTGTGGTTCCAGCTACCTGGGAGACTGAGGTGGGAGGACAGCCTGAGCCCAGGAGGCGGGGGCTGCAGTGAGCTGTGATCGTACCACTGCACTCCAGCCTGGGCAACAGAGTGAGGTCATGTCTCAAAATAAATAAATAAATAAATAAATAAATAAATAAATAAATAAAAGTGAGAACTACCCCTCTCCCTGGTCCTACTCTCCAGAAATAGCCACAATTCACAAGGTCTCTTCAGACCTTTTTCTGTGAATTTACAACATCTATACACACACCTCTAGCATTTTAAAAATACAAAGTGGAATAACGCTGTGCATACTGTTCTGTACTTTGCCCCTCTCATTTTAGATCAGACTCACCCTATGACTTGTCTGAACGTTTCTAACTCATGTGAATTCCATCAATGGCTGGCTGGGACATTTCCGCATTGATGCTTACAAATAGCACTGTGGTAAACAGGCTTGTCTGCAGATCTTAGCACACTTGTGGGACAGTCTGAGGAAGACAGATTCCTAGAACTGGAATTGCAGAGTCTCAGGGCATCCATCTCGTGGACACATCCTATTGGGCAAACACAGCCTCCACTTTTCCTGACACCTCTTGCACCTCAGCCCTCCCCAGAAATACCAGGGAGGTGCAGAGGGGGCCTTCAGGGAGCGTTTGCTGAATGAGTGAATGAACGAATGAGCCCTTCCTCTCCTCCCTTATCACCTGAGGTCCCTCTCCAGCTCAGGCCTCATCCTTCACATCTGGACCCTGGCTGCTACATCCTCACTGGCCTCCCAGGCTCCCTGCCTGGGCTTCCCACTCAATTGCCTACATTAGCAGCTGTTTCCTAGGCCTTATGGAACTCAAGATTGAGCATGGAGTCACTTTCTTTCTTCCTTTTTTTTTTTTTTGAGACACAGTTTCACTCTTGTGGCCCAGGCTGGAGTGCAATGGCCCGATCTTGGCATACCACAACCTCTGCCTCCTGGGTTCAAGCAATTCTCCTGCCTCAACCTCCCGAGTAACTGGGATTACAGGCATGCCTCACCACACCTGGCTAATTTTGTATTTTTAGTAGAGACAGAGTTTCTCCATCTTGGCCAGTTTTGAACTCCCAACCTCAGGTGACCCACCCACCTTGGCCTCCCAAAGTGCTGGGATTACAAGCTTGAGCCACCGCGCCCCTGGAGTCACGTTCTTTTTTTTTTTTTTTTGAGTCGGAGTCTTGCTCTGTCACTCAGGCTGGAGTAGCGCACTGCCACAATCTTGGCTCACTGAAACCTCTGACTGCCTGGTTCAAGCAATTCTCCTGCCTCAGCCTCCTGAGTAGCTGGGATTACAGGCCCCTGCCACCAAGCCCAGCTAATTTTTGTATTTTTAGTCGAGACAGGGTTTCACCATGTTGACCAGGATGGTCTCGGTCTCCTGACCTCGTGATCCACCTGCCTAGGCCTCCCAAAGTGCTGGGATTACAGGCGTGAGCCACTGCATCTGGCCTGGAGTCACTTTCTCAATGGTGCTTTTCCCTGGTCGGGGCATGGGGCTTGGGTAAAAGCTCTGTGGCTCTCAACATATAAGTGCCAGAGAGAACAGAACTCATGTCCCATCCTGGCCCTCAGTTTCTCTTTCCTTATTCATTTAACTCCTTTTTATTGAGCACCCATTTTGTACCAGGCCCATAACGCAATAATAAGGGCTAAGAGCGAGTCTGCATAAGGACTGGAGGTGGCATCAGTAGGACGCTGCAATGCAGTAGCTCCCGATAAACGGTAGCAGCGGCCACTATTCATAGCATTGACAAGGATCAGGGAAGGATTCCCAGCAGAGACGGCTGTAGAGCTGGACCTTCATGGACAGATGAGGCTTCACAGGTAGAGGTGACTGTGAACCTAGAGGTCTGGAGAGGTGGCTGGGGAGCCCTGGAAGCCAGGATAAGAAGCTGGACTCAGGCTGGGTGCGGTGGCTCACGCTTATCATCCCAGCACTTTGGGAGGCCGAGGCGGGTGGATCACGATGTCAAGAAATTGAGACCATCCTGGTCAACAAGGTGAAACCCTGTCTCTGCTAAAAATACAAAAATTAGCTGGGCATGGTGGTGCATGCCTGTAGTCCCAGCTACTCAGGAGGCTGAGGCAGGATAATTGCTTGAACCCAGGAGGCGGAGGTTGCGGTGAGCCGAGATTGTGCCATTGCACTCCAGTCAGGGTAACAACAGCGAAACTCCATCTCAAAAAAAAAAAACAAAAAAAGAAGTTGGACTCTAGCAGGTTGTGGTGGCTCATGCCTGTAATCCCAGCACTTTGGGAGGCTGGTGGGGTGGGGGGGTGAATCACCTAAGGTCAGGAGTTCAAGACCAGCCTAGCCAACATGGTGAAACCCCATCTGTACTTAAAAAAAATACAAAAAATGAGCCGGGCATTTTTTGGACTCTAGCAGGGCATGGTGGCGGGCACCTGTAATCCCTGCTACTCAGGAGGCTGAGGCAGGAGAATAACTTGAACCTGGGAGGCAGAGGTTGTAGTGAGCTGAGATCACGCCATTGTACTCCAGCCTAGGCAACAAGAGTAAAACTCAGTCTCAAAAAAAAAATTTGGTGGCTCAAGCCTATAATCCCAGCACTTTGGGAGGCCGAGGTGGGTGGATCACAAGGTCAAGAGATCGAGACCATCCTGGTCAACAAGGTGAAACCCCGTCTCTACTAAAAAAATACAAAAATTAGCTGGGCATGGTGGCGCACGCCTGTAGTTTCAGCTACTCAGGAGGCTGAGGCAGGAGAATTGCTTGAACCCAGGAGGTGGAGGTTGTGGTGAGCTGAGATCGCGCCATTGCACTCCAGCCTCGGTAACAAGAGTGAAACTCCGTCTCAAAAAAAAAAAAAAAAAAAAATTGGACTCCATCCTAGTTGGATAGGGCAGGGATAATGCCCTTTCTCTCCGGGGCTGTGGGAGGAAATACCGCCACCCACTGCTGGCTCCAGTCTGGGTGGGGTGTCTCTGGGGGACAATGGGAGGAAGTCTTGCTGCATGTCCTTCTACCAGCCTGGCCCCCTTATAATCTGGCATCCTTCTCCCAGTGGCCCCAGCAAGATGGGCCTACTACGGATCCTGCTCTCTCTGTGGCTCCTCCTGCTTGGGGGGCCTGCCTGCCTAAAGACCCAGGACCACCCCAGCTGTCCAGGTAGGCACTTAGGGTGCCCTCCTCACCAAGCCACTGCTCATTCCCTCCCTGGGTGTCCCCTGACCAGGGCTCATCAGCCTCAAGGAACAGGGTGGGAGTTTCATAATCTGGGCTCTGCATGTAAATATATGCAAATGAATGTAAGGCACGCGAAACCTTGCTAGCTCAGGAGACAAGCATCCTGACAGTGGGAATCTGAGAAACTGGAAGAGAACTGCAAAGGGGTCTGGAAGAGACAGTCCACCCTGTGCCCACTCTGCCTGTGTCTCCCTGTAGGACCCAGGGAACTGGAAGCCAGCAAAGTTGTCCTTCTGCCCAGTTGTCCTGGAGCTCCAGGAAGTCCTGGGGAGAAGGGGGCCCCAGGTCCTCAAGGTGAGAGAGGTGGGGAGTGGGCTGGGAACAGGGAAGGCAAGAATGCAGCAACTTCTGTCTGTGCCGAGGGGCCACCACAAAGGGGCAAGAAACCTACCCTGTGCCAGCTCCAGGCTGGGCACCCTGCATCCTAAGATCAACTCTGCCAGGTAGGTGGTTTCATCCTCATTCTGCTGAGGAGGACAGGAAGGTTCAGAGAGGATAAAATATTTGCCCACAGTCATAGAGTGAAGGGTGACACTGACATTTGACCTCTGGCTCCAAGTCTCCTGTTTCTTTTTGGTCCTGGGCATGGGGTGGGACTCAGGGCATCTGTGCCTCTGAGATTTCAGGACAACCTGGACCACCTGGCAAGATGGGCCCCAAGGGTGAGCCAGGTGAGTATGTGGGGCTGGAGGCCTCTCCCCTTTCTTTGCTTCTGTCCCTGGACTCTAGAGTGGGGTCTCTGCTTGGCTGCTGCACCTATCATGGCCTTCTTACAGGGGAAGGGAAGGCTAGGAGGAGTGGGAAGAATTGGGAGAAGGGCCTGGGTACCCTATGATGGCCCTCCCATGGGGGACGGAAGGCTGGGAGGAGTGGGGAGGATTTGAAGGACCTGGGTACCCTTTCCATTGGTGGTTCATGGGCACTCCCATGGGGATGCTCAGACATCTCAGCCAACACTTGGTTCTTCTCTGGGGCAGGAGATCCAGCAAACCTGCTCCGGTGCCAGGAAGGTGAGGCAGCCCTTGAAGGAGCCAGGAACTTGGGATCACGTCATGTTGGGTGTTGGCAGACCCCCAAGTGTGGCCAAGCCCCTCCCCACAGCATCCTTAGAACCGCTCTTGAGGGATCTGAAGTAGCCAAGAGGGCCCATAGAGTCCCGCACTTGTTCCAGTGCCTGGTGGTGGGGGTCAGGGAATAACCTGGTTGCCCCCTCCTCAGCCCATCTCCCCTTTGCCAGGCCCCAGAAACTGCCGGGAGCTGTTGAGCCAGGGTGCCACCTTGAGTGGCTGGTACCATCTGTGCCTACCTGGGGGCAGGGCCCTCCGAGTCTTTTGTGACATGGACACTGAGGGGGGAGGCTGGCTGGTGAGTGTCTGAGAATGGCCCAGTGGTCACTTCTCCCCGTTGGCCCCCAGGAAGCCCAAGCCCATCAGAGCAGGCATTTCCTAGAGTAATTCACTGACAAATGTTTAGTGAGCTTCCAATGGGTCCTGAAGAAGTATGAGGGCTTCAGAGAGGAGGTGCCATTTGAAAGGACCTTGAGTTGGGTGCAGTAGCTCACGCCTGTAATCCCAGCTACTTGGGAAACTGAGAAGATTCGCCTGAACCTGGGAGGCAGAGGTTGCAGTGAGTCGAAATCCAATCCCTCTTTGGCCCCAATTCAAAGACAGAGAGGGTGTCCACCTACCCCTCACAGTTCCTGCACCCTCAGCTACCCGTGCCCAGCCTGGAGTAATAGCTGCTGTGCCCCCACTCCTCCCTAGGTGTTTCAGAGGCGCCAGGATGGTTCTGTGGATTTCTTCCGCTCTTGGTCCTCCTACAAAGCAGGTTTTGGGAAGCAGGAGTCTGAATTTTGGCTGGGAAATGAGAATTTGCACCTGCTTACTCTCCAGGGTGAGTTCCCAGCAGTCTGGAAGTCTGGGGGTTACTGTCTGCCCTCCTGAATCCCTGCCTCAACCCCTGGATCTGAGGATTGCTCCATCCCTGCCTCCCCTCACTTCCAGGTACCTGGGAGCTTCGGGTAGAGCTGGAAGACTTTAATAGCAACCGTACTTTCGCCCAGTATGCGACATTCCGCCTCCTCGGGGAGGTAGACCACTACCAGCTGGTACTGGGCAAGTTTTCAGGGGGCACTGCAGGTGAGTGAGCCTACGGAGAGCAGAGGAAGGAGGCTGGGTCCTTTCCTAGTGCTGCTACTGCCCCCATGAAGCACCCAGAGCAATCCCTTCTCCTCTGCGGGCCTTAGTTTCCTGCATCTGAGAAATGGCAATCATAAGACAGGATGGTGCAACAGTGAAGAATTTGGGTTCTGAAGGCAGATAGTACCTATATGACCTTGGGCAAGTCCTATCCCCCATTAAGCCTCAGTTTCCTCCTCTATAAAATGGGCAGGGAGGCCGGGCACAGTGGCTCACGCCTGATCCTAGCACTTTGGGAGGCTGAGGCAGGCAGATCATTTGGGGTCAGGAGTTCAAAACCGGCCTGCCCAACATGGTGAAAACCTGTCTCTACTAAAAATACAAAAAAACAAAACAAAAAAAAATAGCCAGAAGTGGTGTCGAGTGCCTAGAATCCTAATTACTTGAGAGGCAGAGGCAAAAGAATCACTCAAATCCAGGAGGCGGAGATTGCAGCAAGCTGAGATCGTGCCATTGCACTCCAGCCTGGGCGTCAGAGCAAGACAGTCTCAAAAAAAAAAGCGGGGGGGTGGGGCAAGGAGGCAAGGAGGAGGTTGTGGGTGCTGCCTGAGGCTCTGTTGAATGTTAGCATTCTCTGCTTCGGAAGAGGAACCAAGGAAATCTTCTTTCAGAGAAACAGTGACTGTTGGGGAGAGATTTAAAAGAGGGAAGTGGTTATGAGGGGGTGCCTCAGGGAACCCCCTTTCCTGCCCAGGCACCTGAGAGATTCCTCCCAGCTTTTCCTAGCAGAGTTGCTCAGGCTGGCTGGGAGCTGAGAGGAGACAAAGGAGCTAGAGGGAGGCTGAAGATTCTGGAGGGTGTAAGACAGGGTGAAAAGCTGTGAGCTTTGGAGCCAGTCAGTCCCAACTTCAAGTCCTGCTGTTGCTTTGGAGGCCAAGGCAGCGGATCACCTGAGGTCGGGAGTTCAAGACCAGCTTGACCAACATGGTGAAACCCCGTCTTTATACGTATATATAAAAGTCCTGCTGTTGCTTCGACTAGCCGAGTGACCCTGAGCAAACAACCTGGCCCCTTGGTGCTGCTCACAGGGCCTGATAAAATTCAATTCCTAGCTGCTTTGAGACTCACATGGGATTATATCTCCAAAGGTGCCAGGCATGGAGCTGGGCACTAAGGTGCTTTCCATCTCCTCCCTGCCAGGGGATTCCCTGAGCTTCCATAGCGGGAAGCCCTTCACCACCTACGACGCTGACCACGATTCGAGTGGGAGCAACTGTGCAGTGATTGTCCATGGTGCCTGGTGGTATGGATCCTGTTATCAATCCAATCTCAATGGTCGCTATGCAATGTCTGAGGCTGCTGCCCAGAAATATGGCATTGACTGGGCCTCAGGCCGTGGTGTGGGCCACCCCTACCGCCGGGTTTGGATGATGCTTCGATAGGGCACTCTGGCAGCCAGTGCCCTTATCTCTCCTGTACAACTTCCAGACCCTCAGCCACCTTCCCTTTGTCAACCACCTCTGCTTGCCTGTCCACATTTTAAAATAAAATCATTTTAACCCTTTCAAGACTCTTCTAGTTACTGTGAAAAACTCTAGAGGGCAGACCAGGGACACAAGTTTCAGCTTGTGTCAGGAAGCTGGAAGGAAAGATGGAAAGGACAAGTTACTCACCTTATAGCCCCAGTTCTTGATTTCAGGGTCCACTGAGGCTTAAATACCAGGTCATTAATTCACACAAGAAAGTTGGGGATTCTTGGGGATTTGAAGCTGAGAAGCTGTTGTAGCCCAAAGGGCAGGGGTTGTCTCCTTCAAGGGGTGGGTAAAGAAATGTTTAGAAAGCCAGGGGAGGTGGCTCACACCTGTAATCCCAGCACTTTCAGAGGCCGAGGTAGGCATATCATGAGGTCAGAAGTTCAAGACCAGCCTGACAAACTGGGTGAAACCCCATCTCTACTAAAAATACAAAAAACATTAGCCGGGCATGGTGGTGCATGTAATCCCAGCTACTTGGGAGGCTGAGGCAGGAGAATCGCTTGAACTCGGGAGGCAGAGGTTGCAGGAAGCTGAGATGGCACCACTGCACTCCAGCCTGGGCAACAGAGCAAGATTCCATCTCAAAATAAAATAAAATATGTTTAGAGTGGGAAGTGCTTCTCAGGGCCTATGGTCACCTTCTGGATAGAAGTTAAAGGTCAGCGGGGCTCCACAGCAGGTTGGGTCCTGAAGAAAGCAGCCTCCTAAGCAACAGTAAAGGCTCAGATGCCAAGTCCCACTCCAGGTCTGAAGACTTTGGGGCAAGCGGCCTTGGGTGAAGATTTCCCCCATCCCAGTCCCTCCCTGCCGGCACTCACTGGGCCCTGGAGGACACCCATTATTCATGGTGCTCTAGTACCCTGATGTCTCTAGAGAGCCATTCATTCAACAGATTCCTGCAGGGCAGGGTCTGCGGGTCGAACCTTTTCCCTAGCTCTGGCCTGGCATTTTATTCTCGCTTGCTGCGAGCAGTCTACAGTCTTCGGCGTGCTTGGGGGCACCAGGCTGTTCCGGAAGCGGCCAGTCTCCGAAGTTCTGGCGGGAGAGAAGGGAGGGGAGAGGCTGAGTCTTCGGCCGCTAGGGAGCGGCGCTGCCCCAGGGCCGAGGGTGGAGCTTTCCGGGTAGGCCGGGAAAGGGCTGGGCTCAGCCTACATGTGAAGTCGGGACCGCGTTGGCGGCCGCTCCCTTGAGTCCAGGTGGCGGGCACCTCCGGGCCGATTCCCAGGATACCCCAAGTGGCTCTGAGCTGCCGCTTACCGGATGACCCAGATTCTGGGACCCAATTCCCGATTTCAGAACCTCAGGACCTTGCAAATCCGAGCTCGGATTTCTCCCTGGACTTTAGATTCTTGGAACGGAACGTCAGGCCGGATTCTGGATCCCCAGATCCCGTAGGAGATTCTTCGATCTCGACCGGATTCCGGATCTCCAGATTCCCGATCCGCCGGCCCAGGCTCCTGCCCCGCCCCCGGGTTCCCAGTGCGCCGCGCCCCGCGCCCGAGTGCCCCCGCATGGCGGGGCCGTGCCCCCGGTCCGGGGCAGAGCGCGCCGGCAGCTGCTGGCAGGACCCTCTGGCCGAGGCGCTGAGCCGGGGCCGGCCGCTCGCTACGCCCCCAGGCCGGGGCTGCGCGCGGAGCCGGCCGCTCAGCGTGGTCTATGTGCTAACCCGGGAGCCGCAGCCCGGGCTGGAGCCTCGGGAGGGAACCGAGGCGGAACCGCTGCTCCTGCGCTGCTTGCGTGAGGCTTGCGCGCAGCTCCCCGGGCCGCGGCCGCCGCCGCAGCTGCTTAGCCTGCCCTTCGGGACGCTGGCGCTAGGCGACACAGCGGCGCTGGACGCCTTCTACAACGCGGGTGAGCACGCTGGGGGCGGGGCCGGATCCGGGCGGGGCCTAAGGTCCTGGGAAGGGACCCAGCCGGATAATACGGCTCAAGTGAGGGGCCGAGAGGGGTATCGGGTCTAAGGGACTTAGAAAGTGAGCTAAAGCTGAAGGGCTTGAGACAGGGCCGTAAAAAAAAGTGGGATTTAGGGGATGTGGGGCGCGGCCGGGCTCGGGACGAGACAGGGATCCAGGCGCGGCTCCTGGGTTTGGAGTTGGGGCTTAGGCACCTTTCAGTCGGGGCAGTGCCCAGCGAGCGAGGCAAGGATGGGGCGGGGCGGGGCGGGGCAGGGCGGGGAGCTGCGCGGAGCTGTAGTGTCTCAGGGGTGGAGTTGGAGAACTCAGCCTCAGGAGGATGTCACGCGGATCTCTTGAAGACAATTCCTGGGAGAGGAGCTTGGACTTAGGGAAAGGGGCTGTACCAGGGAGGCTGGAGTTCAGGAGTCCTAGCTTACTACTTCTGAGAATCGGACTGGGAAGGCAAAAAGAGAAGCTAAGAGACCCAATGAGACTGCACACCCAGCGAGGGAGATTAAATAGCGTCAGAGGCCGAGAAAGAATGGGCGGGGCAAGTGGGCGGAGAAGGATAGGCTAGGGGCGGGGCCAGAAGGAGGCTATTCCCTCATGGGTCACTCCTCCCTCCCGTCAGCCCGGATGCTCCGCCCCCATACTTACCTGCCAGTTCAAGAGTTCCTGGATGTCCATGAAATCGCAGCCTAAAATGAAGGCTGACCCGACCACTCGGACACAAAGACACAATTATCGATAGACACAAAACGCATACATGTTGACTCATGCAGGCCCTAGTAGACGCTGTCACGCAAATGCAGTCAGACATAGTAAGCTATACATGTCACAGATACACAATACATACATGTAGGCACAGAGTTGTCTATGCACACTGATGGTAGCCTCTTTCAAGAGATTGTGTTGAAGACCTAGGGGAGAGGACTTCTATGTTTGCACAACTCCTGCCTCCCAAATGGCCTGGAACAGACTGAACCTGTCCACAGCCTACCCTCCCCCATGCCAGGTGCTCACGGGCTTTGAACCGTGGCCTGAGGGTCTCAGCCCAGTGAGCCCAACTCCTCTCCTGCAACACCTCAGAGATCAGTTCTGTGAAAGTGCCAGGGGACTCTAAAAAGGGCCAAATGAGGCCCAGAGCAGAACCAGACCCTACTGGAGTCCCACAGCAAGATAGGCCGAGCCAGGATGGACCCTGGCTCCTTCCCCATCAAGCTGGGCTTCAGGGATCAGTGCCACCCACTCTGTGCTTACAGATGTGGTGGTGCTGGAGGTGAGCAGCTCGCTGGCACAGCCCTCCCTGTTCTACCACCTCGGTGTGCGTGAGAGCTTCAGCATGACCAACAACGTGCTACTGTGCTCCCAGGCAGACCTCCCTGACCTGCAGGCCCTGCGGGTAGGTGGCCTGGGACTGGTGGGGGGCAGGCACAGGACTGGGGTGGGGTCCACGCAGAACACCAGTATCTGACTGTCTGCCTCCTGCAGGAGGATGTTTTCCAGAAGAACTCGGTGAGCAGAATCCACCTCTCACTTGAAAGTGCCCTTTGACTTCCACTATGATCTTTGACCTCCACTAATCCTCCTGGCCTCCTCAGTCACCTAACGCCCCCTGACATCCATGTGTTCCTCTGTTTCCTGCTGCCTCCTTTCATGACGGTGCCCCTTTCCTGCGATTCCAACTCCCACTGGTGCTGACCTTTGACACTCTCACTCCCCTTGTCTAGCCCTGTGCAGACCTCTGACCGCACTGCTTCCTGCCTCCCTCCCACCAGGACTGCGTTGGCAGCTATACACTGATCCCCTATGTGGTGATGGCCACTGGTCGGGTGCTGTGTGGCGATGCAGGCCTTCTGCGGGGCCTGGCTGATGGGCTGGTACAGGCCGGAGTGGGCACCGAGGCCCTGCTCACTCCCCTGGTGAGCCGGCTTGCCCGCCTGCTGGAGGCCACACCCACAGATTCTTGGTAATGAGGGCCCCCAGGGAGGGTGTCCCAGGAGGGGGCTGGTGAGGGTACAGTGGGCTGGGGCTGAGGTGGAGGCCCCACCATTCTCTCTCCCTGCTCCCCTGCCCTGGGCATCAGTGGCTATTTCCGGGAGACCATTCGGAGGGACATCCGGCAGGCACGGGAGCGGTTCAGTGGGCCGCAGCTGCGGCAGGAGCTGGCTCGCCTGCAGCGGAGACTGGACAGCGTGGAGCTGCTGAGCCCCGACATTGTCATGAACTTGCTCCTCTCCTACCGCGACGTGCAGGTGTGTGGCATTCAGAGAGGCAGTAGAGCGGCCGGCATTTGAAGTCAGAGGAACCCAGGATCAGCTCCTGGCTGTGCCACTTGCTCACTGGTGGCTCTGGGCAAATATCAAACATCACTGAGTGTGGGCTTCCTTATCTGTAACAGAGGATAAGCATGTAAGCATGTTGCTGCCTCCCGGGGCAGTTGTGGGGTTCAGAACACCCAGCATGGGGCATACAGTAAGTTCTCCCTGTGAGGTGTCATGTCCACTGGGCCTGAGGGAGGTGTGCAGAGGATGGTGGGTGGGTGGGATGCCAGGGGTGGGACAGGACCCTGGCTCAAGTTTCCTTGGGGCCTGGGGGCCCATGATGCCAGTGCTTGCCATTCTCTGATGCAGGACTATTCGGCCATCATTGAGCTGGTGGAGACGCTGCAGGCCTTGCCCACCTGTGATGTGGCTGCACAGCATAACGTCTGCTTTCACTATACTTTTGCCCTCAACCGGTGAGTAGCATAGCAGGGGTTAGGTCATAGACACGTAAAGGTTTCTGAAACCTGGGTCTCTGCTTTGCAAAGCCATTGCTGTCTGGGATCACTGCTGTTTGGGGAATTTGCTGACCAGGGTCCCTGATGTCAATAGGTCCCTGTTGTTCTGAGTTACTGCTGCCTGGGTGGGGGTGGGGGATGTGGTGCTGCCTGAGGTATGGTCACAGCTGTCTAAGATCACTGCTCCTTAGAGTCACTGAATCTAAGACTTCACTTCCATCTGAGGTCACGACCCCTAGAGAGGTCAGTGCTGGCCAGGGTCACTGTCATTTTGAGGTCATTATTGTCAGGCCCCTGGAAGGGTCCCTGCTGTTCAGTGTCTAGAGGTCCCTGGAGAGAATAGGGAAGGGCCTGAGCCCATCTTTTCTTTTCCCTAGGAGGAACAGGCCTGGGGACCGGACGAAGGCACTGGCCGTGCTGCTGCCGCTGGTACAGCTTGAGGGCTCCGTGGCACCCGATCTGTACTGCATGTGTGGCCGTATCTACAAGGACATGTTCTTTGGCTCGGGCTTCCAGGACGCTGGGCACCGGGAGCAGGCCTATCACTGGTAAGGAGCACAGTGAGTGGCCGGTGGGCAGAGCTGTGAGATGAGGGATGGTGCTGTGGACGTCGGTCCAGCCCTGTGCCCACTACCCCCACCTCAGGTATCGCAAGGCTTTTGACGTTGAGCCCAGCCTCCACTCAGGCATCAATGCAGCTGTGCTCCTCATTGCTGCTGGGCAGCACTTTGAGGATTCGAAGGAGCTCCGGCTAATAGGTGAGCACAGATCCTGGCCTTGTCTCCTCACCCACAGGGGTTCAGAGGGGCCTGGGAAGAGGGCAGGGAGAGCGCACACTGGGCAAGAGCTACGATGAGTTCATCCATTTTGGACTATCCTGCCCATATCCACACCTGGGTCCTAATGCCTGTCCTGGGCCCCCAGGAGCCCTCAAACCCAAAACTGTTCCCAAACTCACACCTGCGTGTTCCTTACGTCCTGAATTCCACACATACCCGTGCCTGAGCTCCTGTCCCCACCCGAGGTCTTGCCATACCTAACAATTTACTCATATCTATGTTCATGTCCACACTCAGGCCCACAGAAATGGTGGGCCTCTCTCAGCCCTGCACCCACACTCACTGGAGCTCATGCCCTTCTCGCCCAGGCATGAAGCTGGGCTGCCTGCTGGCCCGAAAAGGCTGTGTGGAGAAGATGCAATATTACTGGGATGTGGGTTTCTACCTGGGAGCCCAGATCCTCGCCGATGATCCCACCCAGGTGGTGCTGGCTGCAGAGCAGCTGTATAAGCTCAATGCCCCCATATGGTAGGTGGCCCCTTCTGCATTCTTGACCTGACCTGGGCTGTCAGCTCCTGCACCTATGTCTGTTGGCATGCTAGCCTGAACCCTGAGCCAATGACCTGGTTACTTTTAGACCAGTGCCTGTGGCACCCCATGCTAACATTCTGGTTATATCCAGGCCAGATTCTTCTGCCTGGCAGTGCTGGTTGGTGCCTGGGCTGAACTGAGGATACGGCTTTGAATGCAGGTACCTGGTGTCCGTGATGGAAACCTTCCTGCTGTACCAGCATTTCAGGCCCACGCCAGAGCCCCCTGCAGGGCCACCACGCCGAGCCCACTTTTGGCTCCACTTCTTGCTACAGTCCTGCCAGCCATTCAAGACAGCCTGTCCCCAAGGCGACCAGTGCTTGGTAAGGCCTGTGGGGGTGGTGGACCTG